TATTCGTATTTTCTGTGCTTTTCTATTCCTTTACAGACCATTAATTTTCCTGTGTTGATACCAATTTTGAGTCTTTCTGGGGGATTTTACTGTCTGTTGTATAAGCTGTGCTTTTTTTTTTTTTCCACTCTTGGTACCATTTTCCTTTGAACTTACTTTTGTTGGAAAATAGGGATTATTTGAAGTATGAGCTAAAATTGAGACCATTAAGAGAATATGTTTGCTGTGCCAGATACCCAGTGACTACCAACCTGAGAGCACTTTATATTATCAGCATGAAGGTTCTGTGATTTCAGATCACAAACCTTGAGGGCTGGCCTGTGATTATGAATTTGAGGGTGGTGATTATTTATCCTCCTCCACCCAGCAGCCCCAACATTGAGATAGGCAAGGTTCCTTGCTGCCCATTTCTCTGTGGTGGCCCTACCAGACTCCAGCCTAGGTGAGCCTTAGGCTCTGTGTCCAGTACCCCCTGGGACGCCTGGGTGGCTCAGTCGGTTAAGCATCTGCCTTCAGCTCAGGTCATGATCCCAGGGTCCTGGGATCGAGTCCCACATCGGGCTCCCTGCTCAGCAGGGAGCTTGCTTTTCCCTCTGCCTGCAGCTCCCCCTGCTCGTGGCTCTCTCTCACTCTCTGACAAATAAATATGTCCATTCCCCCCCAACTACTGTTAGCTCAGTCTCCAGAGCTCAACAGAACCCTTGGGGCAAAAGCTGGTGGTGGAGCCTGCTTAAGATTCTCTCTCCTCAGGGCGCCTAGGTGGCTCAGTTGGTTAGGCGACTGCCTTCGGCTCAGGTCATGATCCTGGAGTCCCTGGATCGAGTCCCGCATCGGGCTCCCTGCTCGGCGGGGGGTCTGCTTCTCCCTCTGACCCTCCTCCCTCTCATGCTCTCTGTCTCTCATTCTCTCTCAAATAAATAAATAAAATCTTTAAAAAAAAAAAAAAGATTCTCTCTCGTCCCTCACCTCTCTCTCTCTCCAAAAATTACTTAATTAAAATTTGTTTTACTTTGCCCTTGATGTGAGTATTCCTACTCACATGGCAGTTTGTAGTCTATAAAGAATTATAGGATGCTTAGTTCTGCCCTTGGCACTGTCCTGCAAGGCAGCACTCCTATGGTGTGGGCACTGCTACCTGCAAGGTTAGAAACGTACACAAAGAAACCATGTTTTAAAAGTTACACTTTTCCTCCTAAGTAAGGAATGGCTCTATCATTTCCTTAAATGGCTGTCAGCCCAAATACTATTCTTTTGCATTCTTTGATTAGTGTTTGCTTTGGTCTGATAAAAGGATTTGGTCTTGGTTTCTTGCACACCGAACACTGGGCATTATAGATGCATGAATAGGCCTTCTTGGCATAGCTGCCCTGGCTGTAAGGCACTGTCTGCCGTGGCTTGTCTTTGCCTAGCAGCGTGCTTTCAACCAAGTACCTGGCGCTTAAGGGTCTGAAATCTCTTTCATTCAGATGTACTCTGAAATTGAGCCCTGGAAAACAGGTACAGAAGGAAGACTTACTGTTGGCTTTTAGAGGACGCTCAAGGGAGATCCAAATGATACCTGAAAGAGGCAATGTTTATGCTGCAGTGTCAGAATATTTTAATCTTAGGTATTGTTGCGGAAGATGAAGGAATTACCTATCAACTTCTATCCACCCCTAAAACTAATACATGGCCATTAGGTTTCTACAAAGCCAGTACATATTTACTGACTTTATTTGGCACGTTTGCTGCCAATTAACCTTGGCAAAGGAGTGTTTACAGTAAGGTGCCTTGCATAGGTATCTATTTACTAGGGAGTGCAGAAGGAAGTCTCTGGAGTAAGTCAGAGACAGCTGTAACTGTTACTAGGCAAGTTTACATCTTGAAAAGTGATGGCCAGAAGCCAGAGAAAAGCATCCATCCCAATGCCATCTGTGGCCCATGATTTGAAGAAATTCTGCCTTGTGGTTTTAAAATCCTCTAAGATCAGGTATAAAAAGAAATGTAGTCTTGTTCAAAGAAATGTCTAAGGGGCTGTGGCAGCCAGCAAACACTGTGTACAAACCTACTCAGTTTTGGGTGCTGATATTTTCTGTATTTGGTAATTAGTATGAAGGTGTAACAAAAGTTTTAAAGGCTTTCCTGATGAAGCTTAAACTAAAACCTGAAGGATGAGCGAGACTTAGCTAGGCACAGGAAGAGAAAGAATGTTCTAGGCAGAGGGAAGTATACGTGGGTAGAGGGGGCAAAGAACATGGCACAAGGAGCCAAGAGACCAGGGTGACTGGAGCGTAACAAGCAAAAGGAAGCAGAACTTGGGGAAGTTAGCAAAGTAACATTTCCAGCTCTAAAAGAAACCATAAATTAAACCTGAATATTTTTCAGACAATATAGTATAGTTCGTTAAGAAATAAAATTAGTTGAGATTGTTCTATTTTTTACTCATGAATACACTATGACTTTATATGAGTTTAAGGCTAATATATATAAATCATTACATAAACATATATAAGTTGTCTAATTCAGAGAAACCAAAAATATACATTTAGGATAGCCTAGTTTTTGGCATAGATCTCACCTGATATCATTTGAATGATTCAGAAATGTATTTTATCACATAAAGCAACAAATATTATCTTGTTTTGGACTGTTGATAAAATAACTTTCCCTAAAGAGAAAATAGATTTTAAAAATCTTGTACACAAGATTTTATTCTTGGCAAATGGCAGAAACTATTTTTTTCATTTATCACGCTTAATTGGTACTGCTGCAGAGATCCTTTTAGTTGGCCCTCATAACTGTGGTCAATTCGTGTTATTAAAGGTAACTGGTATTCTTTTAACCCACTCAGGTAATCTAGAAAACAGGCAATAGGCATATTTTTGAGGAAAGGAAAATACCGTATAGATATTACACTGTAGGAGGAAAAGAAATACAAACAGCTTAATACATCATCATACCCAAGTATATGACATTGGAAGGTAGCATTAAAAAAATAATTCTCTCTGGACTAAAGCATCTCTGTTACGAGGCAGTGAGGGGAGAGACAGAAGCTATTCAAGTCCTGTTTCTGACTTAGTCACTGAAGCCCATTTCTCTCTCAAATACTCATAAAAGCAATATCTACAAAGTTATAAAGAAAACACTTTTAGGTTAATGTAGGAGCTTATCTACTTAAGAAGTTCCAGGGGAAGAAAACACGACATTCAGTGAAGTGCAACACAGGCCACGTGAGAAGCCGGGACTCCCTCCCACATGCACAAAAGGAGAGTATGTACCTGACACATGCAGAAGGCGAGTGTTCTTTCGGAGGAGAAAAGCCAAATAACCCAAAGTTGACCTGATTTCACCTAAAGTTTTAGTACTACCAACAATACTAAATTCAGACATTTGTTTTGGTTTATATTGATTAAATCTTCAGGGTGTCTAATTCCTTATCTTGATAATTAAACATAACCCAATCTTTAATTTTAAAGAACCTGATAAACAAAGACCAAGTGCTTTTATCAGTTATATACTGATATACTGCCCGGATCAAATGGAAACTATTTTGGAAATACACTAACATGGAAATATGGAAAGCCTTAAAATTTTGTGTATCTGTTAACCTAGTAATTTTACTTCTAAGAATTTATTTTAAGAAAACAGTCATGGATGTACACAAGATTTCAGTGAAGTGTTGTTTATAACTGTGAAAAGATGCATATAGTCAAAATGTCCAATAGAGAATTAAATAAATTATGGTTCAGCCATACAACAGAATAATAAATGAATAAAAATAAAAGACTATGTAATGACCTGGGAAAGATGTTTACAATATATTATTAAGTGAAAAAAGCAGGTTACAAAACAGTATGCAAGTATGAGCCCATTTTTATAAAAATATACATATTTAGCAAAGTAAAAGGACAAATGATATTTACCAAAATATTAACATTGGTTATTTCAGCATAGTAGGATGATAGTTGATTTTGCTTAACAACCCCCCTTTTTTTGCCTATTTGAATTTTCTGTAATGAAGATTATTTTTTAAATGGGAAGGTAGTGAGGGAGTTACTAACCTCAGATTAGCCCAGATATGCCCCCCAAATCTCCATCTGGCAAGGTAAAATATTTCTGTTCAGCCTGTTATCTACGAAATTGCTTCTATTTTATAAATTTGAGTGTCCTTCCAAGATGACATTTAAATTGTCTTTTAGGCAAACCATACAATAGCAATTGCTGATATTAAAAAAACCCAAAACACTCAGGTTAATTACCAAAAAGAACAGATGAGAAAATACAAATCCTCACTTTAAAAAAGGAACAACCCAAGTACATACTACTAAATTATACAAAGTTATATTATCTAAGTTTAGTTTATTGCAAAGATCAAGACAGCCACTAGAAGTTGGGGCTTCTGTTTCACACCATTCGCAGCACTCACTCTCTTCTCCACTGCATTCATTCGCCCATGCAGAGAAAGGTCTGTATACACACAATGATGTCTGACGTTTCTTGGTTCCCATAGTATAATTAGGAAACTTGACACTTCAATTAAAAAGGTAAGACGAGGACATTTACCATCAGACTATAAAACTCCTCTTCTGGAAGAGGATACTATAATATTTGAAGATATGCTTTGGAAAAATCATATAAAAATGAAAAGGGCACCATTTCAAGAGCACTAGGACTACATTAAACTTAAATGAATTCCAACACTCATAATAATGTAACTCAGAAACAAATCTGGTCTTAACAAAAGCTCCAGTAAACTAAAACTATCTTATAACAGGCACAATGAACAGTGTAAACACTGTTAATGGGCACCAGGTTTAATAGGGCAGACAATGTTTGCTTCCGCATTCACAATTTTTCAATTACATTTTTTAAAAATGGTGCTGCTTAAGCTATGAATGTTTTACAAAAAATTAATTTTAATAAATATGGCAAATGCTAAAAATCTAGCTAGGTTACCATGCAAGATATTATAATAACCAAGACAAACTCAAATTTATAATAAAGGCAACTTGCATTCAAAATGAACTCTACCCTTGTATTTTATTAAAAGGGCAAACATCATGAATTAACCCAGCTGCTTACTTGAATTACAAAAGTAACATGATTCAATATGAAAATAAGAAACTGTCTACAAATCTCTGACAGTAATAAATTGCAATATACAATGCATACAGGAGTCATACAGAGCAACAAACTCTCATACAAAACAAAAATATTTTAATACCTTTAAAATCCAAATTTTTCTTTAAAATCATTCATGAAAAAGATTCTCAATTAACACCTCAATTAGTCAAGCATCAGGAAGCTACATTACAGCTATTTAATATACAAAGAGACATCTTTTCCCCAGTCACTTCCTTCTAATGTCTCTGTTTCCGGAATCGTACAGACTCTTTTGCTTCTCTCCACTCCCCATGCCACCATTTCTTCAGATCATGAAAACTGAATTTGTTGAACACCAGAAATCTAAGATCAGAAAATTTAAATTGAGAATTAAAGAAAAAACATATTTTTAAAATAACATGTATTATAAAAAAAATACATATAAACAAAGAGTAAAAACAATAGACAATGAAAAATAAGTCTACTTCCCACTCCCAAATTTCCATTCTGTCTACCCAAGGGAGCTACTTTAATAATTTCTCATGCATCTTTCTAGAAATCTACGCAAATACGAATATGTATGTACATATTTTTAATCAGTAAGAGAATACACAATTACATATTTTGAGAAAGCAATTTTTAACAACCTTCTTTATCAGGTCCTTAATAATAATACAGTTGATCTTGAACAACACAGGGGTTAGGGGTGCCAAACTCTGCACAGTTGAAAATCTTCATGTAACTTTTGACCCCTCCAAAAACTTAATAGCTTACTGTTGACCAGAAGCCTTACCAATAACATAAACAGTCAATTAACACATATTTTGTTTGTTATATATATTATATACTGTATTCTTACAACAACACTAGCTAGAGAAAAGTAAATGTTTAAGGATGAGAAAACCACATCTATAGTAACTGTAAAAAATCTGCATATTAATTGGACCAGTGCAATTCAAACCCAAGTTGTTCAAGGGTCAACTGTAATATGCTGAAATTAACTACCTGTGATAAAAATCAATGATACAATCAATTTTTAAAATGATTTAAACTACAGGGCGCCTGGGTGGCTCAGTTGGTTAAGCGACTGCCTTCGGCTCAGGTCATGATCCTGGAGTCCCGGGATCAAGTCCCGCATCGGGCTCCCAGCTCAGCGGGGGAGCCTGCTTCTCCCTCTGACCCTATCCCCTCTCATGCTGTTTCTCGCTCTCTCTCTCAAATAAATAAATAAATAAAATCTTAAAAATAATAATAATAATAATAATTTAAACTACAAAGAAGGTTGTATTTTACCTGTTGATATGACGTTGTATAAACCATAACATTTTGTTGTTGACCATCTGCAGTTATTAAGCCAGCTGGTAACTGGTTAGCTAGAAGACAAAAAAAAGTTAAAGCAGGAAAAGAATTGCATCTACTCTCTGGGTATGAACCTTAAAGTCGTGTCATTAATTCTCATTACAATTCTGCCACTAATCAATGTAATCTTGGACAAAATCATAAACCCTCAAATTTAGCATGAAAAAAAACTCCATAAAAAGCACATTTTTTCTATTGCAAGTTTTCAGTTTTCTGAATCTTCATTTCTCTAAAATATACTTGGGCTAACTGCCCATGTGTACAAATCTGCAGACTGGATGGGGTTTCTAATTCATAAGCAGACCTATATCATGAGGCTTAGCTAGGAGCAACACTTACATTAACTAAGCAGCATGTATTTTTGAGAAATATAAAATATATACCTATAAATTTTATATGAGAACTAGAATCACCACAGACCTTTCATTTCACCAATATGACAATATTCTTTTTTTTTTTTTTTTTAGGACTTTTTATTTTTAAAGTAATCTCTACACCTGACGTAGGGCTCAAACTCACAACCCTGAGATAAAGAGTCACACGCTCCTCAAATGGAGCCAGCCAGGCGCCCCTATGCAATTTTTTAAAAAACCCTTCAGTTCAAATTTATTTAAATCACAAGATTTTATATTACAAGCTACAATTCTCAATATTCCTATCTCATGTGAATCTTAAACCAAAAACTAGGGGCCATGGAAATCAGAACTATGGGTGAAAGATTATAATGTCTGCAGAATTTAAATTTCTACACTTACCCTCGCTGACTTCAAACATAAAGGCATGAACTTATAAGAACTATTCAAAATAGTACTATGTCCAAATACTCGGGGCTGATATTCCCAAAGTACCATTACATTCAGTATTGATAACGGCTAACAAACTACATGACTTAGAAGAACAAATGTAGTTGCATAAATGTATCATAACACTGCTTACTAAATGCCTCCTCTGTAAGTTCTTCACTTAGTCCGTCTGTAGCTGTGACTGTTCCACCGATTCCTTTCTCTCCTTTCATAGCCTAGGGAAGGACAAATCAAAAAAGCAATCACTGGCATTCAAAAGAAACTGTTTTCTAGATGAGAATGCTTATTTCCTAAAATTAGGAGCTTCTATTATTACAAACACTGCACAGAGTATTTATTTACACTTCTGGTTAATTACATATGAAGAGGCCCTTCAAAATGCTAACTTTTTATATAAGCAGTAATCATCACAAGACAGTGTTAGTAATGACCTAGAAAATCTAAAATATTTATGGATAAAAATAAAATTATTCTAATTCCACACTACATCAAAAGGAAAATAGAAATCTACTTACAGATGAAGTAGTCTGCAAAATACTATAAATATTCAGCTCATAAATCTACTATAAATGATCCAAATTATCATTTAACTCTCTATATATAGCTCTTAGCCAAATGGGCAGTACTATAACAGCAAGTTTAAAGTCTTAAATTCCTAAATCAAAATTACAGTTTGGACCAAAGAGCTCTTAAGTTTCCATCCGTTCACTCTAAGGTTCTGTGATGCAAAAAATTTGGAAAAGTACTGTGAGGAATTTACAAATTCTCTTCCTACTTTAACCATTTGATGATGCATATAACACTAATTCAATGGGATTCTAACATTAAAGAAAGTATTTTGACAGCAATGTGAATCTGACACCCAAGCTGGAGTGTGGAAATAAATATGCTGATCTCAGTTTACTTCCACAAAATTCATACCATAGGCAAAGATAAACCCAAAAGGAAATGCAGAAGAATTCAGTAAGAAAGGGATACAGTTAGAATTCCCTTTTTTCTACCTAGAAGGCCCCAAGCTTTGAGATGCTACCTCTTTTAAACTAATAATAAGCACAGCATGTGTTACCATTACAGACTGCTCACTATATGCTGAGCCTAGGGCTCTACATAGATTATTTTACTTAGTTCTCTCAATAACCCTGGGAGGTAGGTACTATTACTAACCTCACTATACAGACCAGGAAAGCAAGGCCTAACGTATTTAAATAATCTGCCCGAGGTCACAGTGGTGGAGCTGGGACTCAGCCTCAGGTGGCTGGAATCCTGAGTCCAGGCTCTCATTACACTACACAACTATGATGTCATTAGTAACAAAGGGAAAAAGAAAGGACATACTACTTGAATACAGTAATGTAAGTGATTACGTACTTCTTCTGATGAATGATACATTTAAAAAGTTAAAGTGAATAGTATATCTTAGTTCCTTAAAAGCATAATGGAAGGCATTTTACTTACCTCTCTGAATTTCTGAAGGTATAATTTTAGAGGTTCTACATAACTGTCAAAGCCTAAGGTCGACATGGCAAAGAGAATATCTTCTCCGTTGATTGTCTTCCGTTTCTCTTGATGGCATCTTTCACTTGCTTCAGATGTTATAAAGCTGATGAACTCACTTACACATTCTTGAACACATTCTTTGGCATCTTTTGCAATCTGAAGAGAAAAATCACAGGTAAATTTGCAGGGAATATAACCATCCCCTTCCTAACAACCTACAAAAATAAAAGCTGTTCAGAATACAAATTTCAGTTTACGGCTGTTAACATTTCATCTTTGAAATAATATTGCTAATTACACTGACACAATGTGCGCTATCAAAGTTCCAGCCCTTGAGAATTGAGAATAAAAACTTGAATACTAGGAAGAGAAGCCCTGACAACTATTCACAGAAAACAGGTATAATTTAGGTAAAAAGGCAATCACTGGATGTCCCTACCATCCCAAAAGATGAAATCTTACTAACCAAGTGCCCCAAGAAAATCAGACCCATGGTGTATGTAGTATACTGTGGGCTAGACTCAGGTATCATCACTCCTCTGCCCTAGCATTTCCACAACTAAGGACACCAGAAAATTTTAAAAAGACAAAACACTGAATTCATGTAAGGCTTACAAGGGAATGAAATAATGACGTCTGGTGACATTTTTATTACTGAAGATACCAAGTGTCAGGTACAGGTTTTGAGTTTATTAAAAAGCAGCACACACCTGCCACTTCATTTTAAAGGCAATTCTTCTTTTAAGGGTGTGAAACTCTTCCAAAGTGTCTTTCAAACTCCACTTTCAAAGTGAAACTCTACTGGATTAAAGCATGCAATTCCAAAGCCACTTCTAACAGAACAACACAAATCCTTGCTGAAACACACTGTCTTTCACCTCCAGGCCTCTTTTACATCCTGAAGACCAGTAAACAAGAGCTGCAGGCAAGATGATATCATGCTAGCTGCACGCATAACTTTAGATATTCTAGTAGCTATGTTTAAAAAAAGGTGAAATTAATTTTAATAATATATTTTATTCAGCCCAATAAATCCAAAATATTACCATTTAAACAGAGAATCCACTTTAAAACTGAGGTATTTTAATTCTTTTTTTCGTACTAAGCCTGCACAATCTAAAGTATGTGTTACATTTACAGCACATCTTAATTCAGACCCGCCACACTTCAAGTGCTCAGTAACCGTGTGCGGTCGGTGGCCTGAGGTGCTGGACAGCGCAGGCCTAGCGACAGAAACACCAATCAGCAGTTGTGCTTTATTTCCCCTGAAAACATAAGGAGGACCTCTCCTATTGGAACTTCTAGGCTTAGCTCTGTATTTTAATAATATATTTCTTTGTGAGCTTTATTACTTTTATAAGCACTTTATAAGCTACAATTTAAAAAGTTTATTATGCAATATAAAATAATATAAAAAATGTGGCTTTTAATTCAGACCAAGTGATGAGTAGAGTGATGAGTTTTTTTTAAGTTGTTATAAATAACTGTCTATACGATTGTCTGTCTCAAGACAGAACTACTTTAAAAAAATCATGCCAGTTAAATTTAAATGTACATTAATATTTATGATTATATAAAAATAGTCCTTCCAAATGTAAGGATTTTTTCCGTATCAGTCCAAAATGACCCAATTTTGCTGCAACATTATAGAAGTCACAGCTCCATATGCTCACAAAACCTGATAGTTCTGATAATGCACCTGTTTTAAAGGAGATTCTTAATTCTATTTTATCTGCTTCAAGTGGGGAAGGGGAACATGGGAACTGCAAGTGGAGTCCTGCTCAGTAACGAAGCGTGAGGCACTGAAAGAGCGGCTGGACTTGCTGGGAGGCTGAATGGCTGCTCAGTAATAGCTGACCGTCTTCAGAAGTGCACACTCATGTGGGTCTACGCTCCCCTCTCCCCTAGAAAAAGGTCTCCTCCGCATTACCTTTCCCGTTTGAGGTATGGCATTTTTCATTATCCTTGCTACATTTGCAATTGGAAGATAGATATCTTGTTCTCTGAAACTTTCTTTTGAGCCATTTGTGTCTTCATGATCGTTCATGCTGTCTTCAGTATCTAAAGAAATAAAAATGACTTCAGTTTCAAGTTGCTCATCATCTTTACTTCAAGACAGAGATGACTACCTGAGACAATCTAAGATAAGAACCATCCTGGTTCATGTCCTAATCATTTTTAGGGAGGAGGAGAGCAGTTCTTTTCATGATTTTTCTCACAGCCATAACCGAAACCTACTCGTTAGTTTCAAACCTGCTGCCTCAGATCCTTTTATCCTCAACTCTGCCTACTGAAACCTTACCTATCCGTGGTCAAATGGCGCCTTCAGAAGTGATCTCTCCTTTCACAAAATATCACAAAGTGCCTCTCTGTGTCTTTTCTGACACATTTTATAATTCTTTTCATTTCTCATCCTCCCTATTAGATGTCTGCTACCTTAGGCCAGGGATCAGCTCTGTGTACTTCCTAGAACTTGGTATATCATCTTCCACAGAAGTACTCATAAATATTTGTTACATAACTTAGCTAGAAAACTTACAGACTATGACCTATGGTTCCCTGCATATTGCCAGATTAAGAGGTTATATTATGCAAAGCCAAGTTTATATAGAATGGAAAAAGTGGGGCGCCTGGGTGGCTCAGTTGGTTAAGCGACTGCCTTCGGCTCAGGTCATGATCCTGGAGTCCCGGGATCGAGTCCCGCATCGGGCTCCTTGCTCGGCGGGGAGTCTGCTTCTCCCTCTGACCCTCCCCCCTCTCATCCTCCCTCTCTATCTCATTCTCTCTCAAATAAATAAATAAAATCTTTAAAAAAAAAAAGAATGGAAAAAGTGGACTTGAGTATTACTGACCCAGTTGGATTAATACTAATGTAGTAAGTTTTTGAACAAAGCTGTAGCACTGATCCAACGTTCTTACAAAAAGTGAATCCTCAATATATAGACACAGATATAACTGAAGCTTTCACAGTACCAGTAATATACTTTTTTAACTAAATGCAGTATCCTGTAAGTAATATGTACTCTTCCTATGTATTAAAAAAAGAAAGGCACTTACGCTGATTCAAGTTACATTTTTCTTTTCAAGCTACATTTTTTTTTTTTTAAGATTTTATTTATTTATTCATGAGAGACAGAGAGAGAGAGAAACAGAGGGAGAAGCAGGCTCCCAAGGAGCAGGGAGCCCGATGTGGGACTCGATCCCAGGACCCTGGGATCATGACCTGAGCTGAAGGCAGACGCTTAACCATCTGAGCCACCCAGGCGCCTCAAGCTACATTTTTATGTGTATCTGTTTCAGGATGAAGTAACTAATCACCCACCCCCAACTGCCTCCTAAAAAATATATCTTAGGGGCGCCTGGGTGGCTCAGTTAGTTAAGCGTCCAACTCTTGATATCAGCTCAGCTCTTGATCTCAGGGTCGTGAGATCAAGCCCTGCGTCGCGCTCCGTGCTGGGCATGGAGCCTACTTGGGATTCTCTCTCTCTCCCTTGCCCCCCCCCCCCCCCCGCACAGGAGCTTAAGCTCTCTCTCGCTCTCTCTCAATAAAAAGAGTCAGATGCTTAACCAACTGAGCCACCAAGGTGCCCCAAAAACATACTTTTCTATAACTCTTTTCTAGAATTCTTTTCTAGAACTCATCACTCTTTTGATGACTATTTCTAATAAAAAGTGCCTTGTTTTAGACTATCACTGAACTTTGACACAAGATTGCTAATTTTCCTGTAAAGACAAAATTAACCTAGAACATCACATTAATATGATTTTCACTAAGTTGTTTCTACTGGGGAATGTCTTTAATGGGGGCTTTCTCACCATCGTGAGGCTGTATCACATAGTGGCTTCCTCCGATGTAGTCTGCAGAGATGCCTAGTTGAGAAGCATCTGTCGTAGCGCTGTCACCATCCATCTATGAGGAGAGAAGTTTTGAAATATTCTTCAGTAAAACTTGTCTAAAAAACATAACAGAGTCAATGCTCATAAACTGTCATAGCATGGGTCAATTAGTTTTAAAGGCATTAAGCTTACTAAAAGAAAACATTTGTATCTCTTGATTTGAAAACCTTGTGATAATTTTTCAATGATTCAAGATTCCCCTGTCTACCCTCTGTAGGTGATAAGCATTAAGACCAACAGAAAAACAAAACAAGGAAATGAATCTAAAACACACACCTCTTTCTTTTCAATTGCATAATCCTCACATATAGTGCAAACAACCCTGACTTACAACCTAGCTTGTCCCTGGAATGACAAGCAAAGCCAAAGTCAGCTTAGAAGTCACCTAAAAGTCACCGATTTCCATCTCTTTCCGCTTTCCTGCTACAGCCTGGTAGTCCTATGCAAATCATTTTGCTCCTGCAGCAAACTTTCCCTGCTGTCTCACAGAAGTTCCACAAGGGGCAGTGTCTTGGTTCAAACTGCTGTTTGGTAGGGAAAACATATGGATTCCTTGCACAAACCTGGGTCCATGCAACCTTAAAGCACACCCATACTTTGAACCAGCCTATCACCTCTAATTCTACTCAACAGTTCCACTCCCCCCACCCCGCCCTCAAACTTGAGATTCTTTTAAAAAAAGAAAAGGAGGGGTCAGGGAGATTGGAGATCTGCATATAGACAGTAAAATTATAACCATAGACAAGAATGAGAATTAAAATGACTATTTTAAAAGAAGCCTGCTTAATTAAGTTTGCTCAGAGCCAAAAGAATTCTAAGAGGGAAAACCTGGAGAAAACTGGACCACAAGCCCTGAACTGTCTCCATTCCATTTCACCAACATGGCAAATCCTGAAAGTCTTTCCGCTTTGCAAATAATACTATTCAAAAACAATAAGAGACTAGCTATTTGTGGGTGGAAAATTTGTAAATGCATTACCCGAATAAAAAGTGTAGCAAAAATTAAGTACAATCTATACATGCTTTCAGGCCAGATCAAAAAAAGACACTTGATCCTACATGTTCATCTAGGGCCAGAACCTTGATAACAAGTTTAATGTTATTAACTGCACTACTTAAGTCTTTGGGGACCACGTCATGTTCTCCAGTTCTGTTGGATTTTCATCTACTAGTAAAATAGCAGGCTAGTTTCCAAGTCTTCAATAACATGGCATTTCTTTGATACATCTGTTGACTGTGGTATCTAATTTCATTGCAGATAAAGATACATTTCCATAATCTATATAGTTTTCTAAGGGGCTAGAGAATAGAATTCACCTACCTTTAATAATGTGCACAAGTACAGAGTACCTATTTATTGATACTTCTTAGTGGCTTCTAAAAGGTAGTAAACAACATCAGTGAGCTCTGATTCTGACTCTCCTTGCTGATCCCTGAAAACAGCATCCCTACCCATTAAATGTTATCTCCATATAAAATGGAAATAGTATCATCTTCCCCATCTTAAACAGCTAATGTGAAACATTACCCAAAAATAAAATGCTATTTTAATCCTAAAATGCCAACAAGATACTAGGAGAGTGGTCTTTAATAGATATGATGATGGATTTATTAGCCATGAAAGAGAGCTCAATTAGGATAGCTGTGAACTGACTAGTTTTTACAATGCCCTAAGGGAGATTAGGGAAATCACAGCTCAGGAGAAAGGACCAAAGTAGTTGTTTCAGAACCTATAACTGGAAACAAATCTTTGTTGGGGTGGGGCAGGCAGGGGATGTCTGTCTGGGAGATCAATTAATTTATAAATATAACATAAAAAAAGTATTAAAGGCAAAAAGTTTAAATCACATTATCTTGTCATGCACTGGAATTAGTAGCAAGTTATCATTTGGATTCACGTCATTAGCCTCTAAACCTCAGTCTTCTAAACAGTACTTCTGAAAGTATTTCAGAGTTGTCAGAACGAAAGAAAGGGAGCCTGCTAAAGAGCTGTGTCTGGCGCATAGAGCACTCGGGGAACAGAGATCCTATCCTCCCTCCTTGAGGATAAGCTGCACGGAGCAGGCTTAGCTGTGTGTTTCTTTGGGTCTGCAAGCCGTAGCTCTTCTGTCATTTCATCACACCCCTGTCTTCCTCTCCTCTATCTTTCCAACTTAAAATCCTGCCCCATACTTTAATCCCAATGTTCTCCCATCCTCCTGAAATCTTTCTGATTTACCCTATTCTGCAAACCCAAAATTAGTGTCCCCTTCTTTGAATCCCCAAGGTACTTAGTAACAAATTAAGCCTCATCTTTGATGCTCACAATATGCTAGCCACTCATATATATAATATGAGTGGGGAAATGAGGCAGGGATACTTGCTAGATACATCCCAAAGGCTTTTTCAAGCTCTAAACTTCCTATAAAAATATTCAGAATAGGCTGGAGATTTTGAGTAAGCCAGTCAACAAATATTTACCAAGTAAGCACCTGGTATTTATCAGGTCTGTGCTATGTGCTGGCGATGTGGCCTAGTCAACAACATAGACAAGATCTCTGTCCTCATCTTGCAGGGAAGACAAGTATTACGTAAACTAGTGGCAGGGGAAAGGGGTAGGGAGTGTAGTCTATTAATACTTCCAAGGCACAGGCTCTGGAATCCTATCACCTGGTTTGAATTCCTTCCTACTTACTTGCCATGAGACCTTGAGCAAGTGGAATGAGACAGGACTTACCATGGAAAGACTTAGCATAGTGTAATAGGAGGACTCAGTAAATGTTATATGTAGCTATTAAGTAATTACAATTAACTAATTGCTAGTGCCAGGTGCTAAGGAAAACAAAGGTGTTTTGTTATATGCTTTGAGAGCTTATTGCAAAAGGGGCCACACTAGTCTGGGGAGTCAAGGAAGTGGTCCAGGAAATGACATTTAAACTAAGACTGAAAGACAGATAGAAACCAGTCAGGCAAGGAAAAATGGGAAAAGAATGTTCCAGGCAAAGGAAACAGAAATCTAGTACTGGTGGACTAGAATGGACTACAGGCTAGATCAAGCAGTGCCTTGTGGACAAGAGCAAGTCAAAGGGGAGTCTGATTTGCCTGGTTCTGCTAACACTCTGGCTACAGTCCAGTGTAGAAATGGACAGAGGGGAGCAAGAATGGGGGCAGAAGACCACGAAGGACCATGGGCCTGCAGTCAGAGCATGAATTCGGGCAAGATGATGAACATTCATTCCCCAGGTCAGTCCAGAACAACAGCAGTGGAGATCAAGGGGAGCAGACAAAAGAGCCTTTCAGGAGATCAAATCAACAGACCTGGTGACTGAGTGAAAATGAACCAGAAGAAGGACCAAGGGGATGCTGCTGGGGTTCCTGCAAGTGGAATGAGACAGGACTTACCATTCCACTTGTTCCTGTCTCATTCCACTTGCAGCTGGAGAGACAGAGAATGGGAGCACTGGGCAACGAGAGCCAAGCTAGAGCCAGTGACCACAAACATGCAGTGGCACCCAGTGGCACCAGTCTCGACAGGTCCACAGGTGGTGGAAGAGGAGAGAAGCTGAAGTGCTGGGTCTTATCCAGACAACGAAGAGGGAAGGGCATGCAGGAGAGTGACGAGACAATGGGTAAAATGACGAATCATTAGATCGAAGAGAACTAATAACTATGGACAAAGACTAGTTCAAGCCCATTAAATTAATGTTATTGACTATTCTGACTACTTAGTTGAACTGATATTGTTCTCTAAAATATTATGTGAAATCAATGGTCAGCTGGCTAATACATTTTTATTCTATAATTCCGTGATGTAGCAGTATTCAAATTACATTAATAATTTGTGCACAAACGTGGGAAATAGTTCCCTCTTTAATAGGTTTAACATTTATCGAACACTTTCTAAATATCTCATGCAATGTTCCTGACCCCGTGAAGCAGATGAGAAAAATTGAGGTTATAGAAGGCTAATGACTTGCCAAAGGTGGCAGAGTAAATGGGATTTAAATCCAGAATCTCAGATGCCAAGTACTTTACGGTATTTGTTCCTAATAGTTTTTCCTGTAGTCCATGGCCTAAATCTTTACTTTGCCTTCTCTAAATTCTGGGTCTAATGATTGTATATTAAAAACATTCAAAGTTGCTTCTCAAGCCAGGACAATATCTGTGGGATGTAAGCAATGCACCTGGTTTGGGGTTCAGGATCAGGAGCACAGGCCCTTAGGACAGACCATTTGGGGTTTTTTAAAATGGAGTTGCTATGAGAAATGAAGTTATTATATAAAAAGCACTTAGCAGGGGCGCCTGGGTGGCTCAGTCGTTAAGCAGCTGCCTTCGGCTCAGGTCATGATCCCAGAGTCCTGGGATCGAGCCCCGCATCGGGCTCCCTGCTCAGCGGGAAGCCTGCTTCTCCCTCTCCCACTCCCCCTGCTTGTATTCCCTCTCTCACTTCTCTCTCTCTCTCTCTGTCGAATAAATAAATTAAAAAATATATATATTTAAAAAAAAAAGCACTTAGCAAAGTGTACGATACATAATAAGAACTCAACAAATGTAACCTAGTATTATTTTTGTCCCTTCAAATACAGTTCTCACCCTTCTTTCCAGGCATGGTTTTCTCTCTTGCGTAACCCCTTTCACCTGTTCTCTGGACCAATTCCTTTTTATCTCTTTGAGGATAAGAAGTAACACAAAGAATCCTCACCTCTAATGGATCTTCAGCCCTCCCTGACCAGCTGCTTCACTCTTTCTTCAACATGCTTAGGCTCCCTCATTGAACACACAGAAGTACACACAGACCCATAAAACCGTAATTCTGCTCCACACCCTTGGCTAGCTATCACTGTCACCCTGACAGTCCTCACACATCTCTCCATTCCTATTTCAGCTCCCTGGCAGGTGCTTCTCCACCCCACCAGGATACTGAAACCGCTCTTGGAAGTTGCCAATAATCTTGCCTTCATTCCTACTTGGCTGTTCTTGATAGTGCCGGCCACTGCATGAAACTCTCTTCTCTTCTCCCTTGATTTCCAAAGCGATATCCTTTCCTGGTTTATTTTTTCCTCCCCACCTCCCAGTTGTTAGTTTCATCCAAGGTTATCCTTTCCTTTCTTCCCTCACTCTCTTAATGAACTCGTTAAATACCACTTCTATGCTTAGAAGTCCTAAATCTACAACCATATCCTGCCTGCCACTCCAACGAGCCATGCCTGTGGAACATGTCTGATGTCCCATCACTGTCAGCTTAAAATTCTGGAAAATGAAACTCACCCTCCCCATGTCCTGCAAGGAGGCAGTGGATGAGAGCTCCTCATCTGCTTTCCAGCTACTGTGATCCCACCCTCCCAGGCTCATTATACCAGTGTCATCTTAGATTCTTCTATCTCCTCCAAGTTCCACCTAAGCTGTTACCTCCTTTAATAAGTTGCCTGGATATGCCCTTCCTTTCTCTACTGCTACTGCATTACTACCCAACCTACCAGGGTACAGACTGTTTTAAGATGGATCTCACTCAAACACCATTTCTACAGCTCCTAAACCTGGAATGGTTCTAAAAGTCTTTAGCATCAAATCCAAACCTAGTTTTTCCTTGGCTTTTCACGAGTGGATCCCCCACTTAACCTAACTAAACTTGTTTCCAACTCTATCTTCAGGGCTAATAAAAATCTTAGTGCTAGAATGTGCCTTATTTAAGGATCACCAGGTATAGCTCTTTTATTTTAGGACTGAGGCATGAGTCATGGCTCAAGGAAGTTGTAACATGCCTGACATCACAAATACAGTAGCAGATCCAGAACTAAGCATCCAGACAGGAAAAGTGGTATCTCTCACTAAATTAGCCTATGAAATCTCCACTTGGACGATGCAGATCTACTCCCCCTCCCCTAAACAACAGTTACTCATCACTGCCTTCAGGCTTTTGCTTTCGGTGATACCCTCCACCTACCCAAATCCCACTCATCCTTCAAGGCTAAGTCCACGACATTCGCAACTACCCAGGCCTACCACACCACTGGTCTTTTCATCTCTGCCACCCGTAGAACCAGCATTTCCCATTCCCTGCAGAATTGTCTTCTAAGCATTCAGTTCCACTGAAGCCCTTCTAGCAAAACAGACAGCCTCTTAAGAGCTGGGACAGGCTTTTTATCTTGTAGCCTCCACAGCACTTAGGGGCCCACAGGAAACAATACATGCAAGTCACTAAAAAGAAAGAAGCAACAGGAATGAGTGAATGGAGGTACTATCTGTCTAGACTTGAAGGGCATTCATTCTACTCGGGATCTCCAGTATACATTAGGTATAATTTTGTTTCCTAATTACTGTTCAAATCTAATTAACAACCAAAATGGTAAGACATACTTACTGTCATGAAACACTGTCAGAACCGTATTGTCAGTGGTGTTCAGAACACCTTTCTAAAAAGGGGTCTGATCTTTGCCCAACTTCAACCTAGAAGATAAACATCTATTAGTAGTAACAACGTATTGCCTACAGGCTTTCTTCCTAGTAAAAATTTAAAAGGCGTGTATAATTTCACCTACTATTCTTATTCAACAGAGTGCAAAAAAGCAGGCGCCCAATAAAGGTTTCTTAAATTGGCAGATATATTTTGGAGACCTTGCAAAAAACAGTTAATTCTATGGCAGGGAGGAACTGCTTTCCTAACATAACCCTGAATTTATTCATGTACACCATAAATATTCATCACAACACCCCAAATTATATGCACGAGACCAAAATTTACACATCCAAATTATTCAAAATATTAACACCCAAGACAAACACCCCAACTTAATTTTTCAGTGGTGATTTTCTTAATGTTTTAGAGTGAGATTTAGGAGTCCAAAAGCTCAAAAGAGAGGGAGAAGAATATCTCAGAATACAATACTTTTAAACACCTCGGATTATACTGAAAAGATACACGCTGCCCAGAGAACATACATGGAACACAATAAATTAGGACCTTTATTTACCATTTTAAAGCACCACCATTTTGGACTAAAATTGCATCTGAATAGCACTTCATTTTCACTGTAAGGCATAAATAGCTGAATAAATTGGTATCAATTACAATGTTACAATCTCCATTTCTCATTTGCTCTTTTCCTTTTTCTTCAAGTGAAGCAATTAAATTGGGGGGAGGGGCAAAACAAAAACATATCCTTTCAGTGTTAATTTTAAAGGAAGAGAAAATAATGATATGCATTCAAGCATGAAATCTAGTAAACAGAAGAAAAAATTGTAGCCACTGAATTGAATTTTTTAAATGTCAGTCCAGGCAGCAAAGACTGGCTGACATTGTCCACTCTGCTATAATCTTAAAAGCAATGTCTAATTTCTTTTTAAATATTGTCCTCTTTCTAACCCCAAAGCTGCCCAGATGATTCCTTCCTTGTAGCTAGAAGCGTTTTAAGGGTGTCTTTGAAAAAGAAAATCCTCAGTACACTTAAAATAATGGAGCTATATATATTTATTTTGCTTGGGGGGGGGCACACCTCACCACACTCTCTCACCCAAATAGTTGACTCAGTATATATTTAGATTCAATATATTAAAGATAAACACTGTCACCTCATATGGTATATATTTTCCTAAAGGCAGGTTATGATATATGTGAAAGCTCAAGGGAATGCATACATCTGTTTAATGTTTGAAGAAATGCAAATTTGTATCCAAGAAAAGCAGCAGACCCTTCCTCCACCCTCCATTCTTTGGCATCAACAACCAGAGTTTTGCATCAATAGAATCCTTAAATTAAGCTACAGGAGCAGTGCGGGGAAGGAATAATTGCCTTTTAAGGAATTCTGGTTAAACTTTGAATACTTTACAAATAAAACCCTTATTTATTAATGCCACTTACATCGATCAGTTTATCTTACCACTTTATTTTGCCAATTAGTTTCCATACCAAGAAAGCCCAAACCACCCCAGTGATTCGTGGCACGAACCATGGCACCGTGGAGTCCATGCGGGTTAGTGGGATGCTATTTTTTTTTTTTTAAAGGTCGTATGCTACCTAACCTTGTTTAAATTATCTTGTTACAGTACTTTGGGCAAGATTACGACTTGTGGGTGCTCTGTTAATTCTTTGTTCTCGAAGACTACTGCTCCTCAGGCCCGGCAGATCCTCCCCGCCTCCCACCGAAGATTAAAACCTTAGTCCAATCCGAAAGGCTTCCTTCCCACCTTCGGGGCACGTCCAGGGACAGCAAGCCGCCAGATGGCTGCATTCTCTACGTGTAAGCCAGACTGCGGGGAAACCAAATCCACTCCTTCCTCCCGGGACCTCGCTTCCTCCCCACGAAGGTGCGCGGGCTGCCCCGGCCCCGCCGCCCGGCCGCCTGTCAGTCCCGCCGGTGCGTGGCGACCGCCCCTGGCGCGCATCCCCCCGACTCGCCCGCCCAGGCCCCGGGCCCGCGCCCAACGCCTGCCGGCCGCCCGCCCGCTCCGGGCGCCGGGGCACACAAAGCGGCCCGGTCCCGCCATGCCCCGGCGGGCCAGCGGGCGGGAGGGGGGCGCCCCCGGGAGCTCCGCGCGGCAGCCCGGCCAAGGGCGCAGGGTCGGAGCCGGGGGCCGGGCCAGTGCCCCCCGCCCGGCTCCCCGCACAAAATGGAGCCGGCCGGGGCGCCGCCGAGAGGGGGCCTGGCGGTGCCCCGGCGCCCCCTCCTCGGCCTCGGGCCCGGAGCTCGGCGGCGGCGAGCCGGAGGCGGCCTGGCCCGCGGCCCGCCGCTCCTCGGCCCGGCGCACAAAGAGCCGCGCCGCGGCCCCGGGCCCGCTCCCCGGCCGGGCCCGCAGCGGGAGCGGCCTCGCAGGCGCCGGCCCGGCCCCAGCCCCGGCCCCGGCCCCGGGCGAGAGGGCGGGCGGGAGGGAGGCGAGTGGCCCCGGCCGCGGCGGCGTTGGCGGCGGGGACGGCGCCGGGAGGAGACGGACATTTCATTCGAGCTAAAGTGGAGTCGGTTTAGGAGCGATCATTGGCCGAAGCGAGACACAAACCTCCAATGCAGCCCTGGTTGGCTCCCGTCTCCAATCGGCTGTTTGGTTGGACAGAAAATGGCTGCGAAGGAACCAGTCCCAGCGCGGAGCTCCGCTTCCAGGACTCGGCCTCCCCTCCCTCCGCCGCGGGCCGCTTCCCTCGGCGCGACACCCTCCCTCCGCGCCTCCCGCGCGCCCGCCCGCCGCGGCCCCGCCCCGGCCCCGCCCCCGGCCCGCCTCGCCTCCGCCGGGGGTGCCGAGCGGCCGCAGCAGCTGCTGCCCGCAGAGCGGGCTGCGGGCCGCGGCGGGCGGGAGGGTCTTGCAGAGGCCGCGCGGCGCCGGCCGGCGGCCTCCGTGCTCCGCGGGGGCTTCCCGGGGCCGGGACTCGGGCACGCTCTTGAGGTCTCTGCGGGCTTTCTTCCCACGATGTTTTCCCGGGCCTCTGCGAAGCGTGATTTCTCAGGCTTCGCTCCCTTTTCCGTCCCCTCCCTCCCCCACGTGAAAGCGTCTCGCCCGCCCGACGATTTTTTAGAAGGGGAAACCAAGGGCAGAAACCGCCCGCCAGGGCGACATTCGAGCTACCGGGTGGATTTGCACGACGGCCACCTCCTGCAATGCCTTCAGCACCTTGTGTTTTCCTTGTGTGCCTGTAAACGTTGCCAAATGCACAACGGCTCCCTCTCGGTCACTGAGCTCGGATATTCGTTGTTCAGATTTCATCTAAAGATACAACCCTCTCCTTCAGGTTTAACAGGTTGGTCAGTCTAGCCAGCCTTCACCCTGAGTTTAAAATGTTGCGTTTCCTGTCTCCCCCTCCACCCCCCGCCCCGCACCCCCAGTAGTTGCTACCTGACATGTGGCTTTTCCCAACCAGATGATTATTTGGGCCGCAAGAATCCATGGTCGGTTCTTGCCTCTGCAGCCAGGCTCCCCCGCTGTCTTTCCCTGACTGCAGTGTGGGTCGGACTTCCCTCGCCTGCGACCATCACAGATGGGCTGTGAGCCAGACACCACCGCGCACTGCAAAGGGCGGCAGGATTTCTGCAACGCGAGCCCGCAATCGCGTTCGCTTTACTTCCACTAAACAAGTGGCCCGGTGCCACATTAAACTTTCCAGCTTTAATCATTTAAAAATATATAGACATGTTTTATTTATAGAGCTCCTACTGTTTCTCCGCATATTTTAACATTTCAAGAGCAAATAAGGAAGCAATGACAAGTGAAAGCCTCCAAGTTATTCCAAGAGGAGTAAGGAGCAATGCCACCGTGCAATCGAACACCCTGATTTGAATTCCACCTCCCCCTCATACCGGCTTGTGACCCTGGCCAAATTTCTTTGCCCCTCCGTGACAATTTCCTCACCTCTGTAATGAGACTAATACTAGCTCGATACTTCTTAGGATTGTTTGGAATTAAAGACAATGCACAGAGAACGCCCTAAAAAAATAAGTTGGCCCCTATCTTAAGATCTTTATATGATATGAATTTCAATCTCCATCGAACTTTTAAAAACTGGTATTTGCTAAAGGAGGAGTAAAATTGGCCTGCATTGGACCTCTCCCTGGGTGATGACCTGTGCAAGTGGAGTTTTCAGAGTGAAATGATGTGCTCAAAGACAGGAAATATAAAAAAGGAAGTAGTAGGGTTGAGAGAAGTTATGACTAATCCACACACTGGATGATGAACCAAAAGATGCAAGATGACTGCTTTTCCTGAGTTAACAGGCTCTTATTTCAGTACTGTTGATCTCACTGACATGCTTAATTCCGATGCAACAAAAAGGTTACTCAGCTCCCACTGTCTACTAGGGGCTGTGCCAGGAGCCCCGGGGTTGCAAAGGTGGATAAAGCACCCTCCTTACCCTTGGGAGCTAACTCTAAAAGATAGGGGACCTACTCCATGCCCCTCTGCTGTTGAACCCCAGGTCATGCTGGCTTGACAACTGTGTTCTCTGTGCCCTTTACACCTGCATTCAGGAAGCCCCCCAGTAAATGTTATCCCCATTTTTCATGATCACATGGTGGAAGACATGTATCACAGTTTAGTTGTGGAAAAGACATTGTCTAGACTAATCCAGACTTTCCTTTTTTTTTTTCCTTGACTGTTCAGATGTTTTATTGCTTTTAGACTAATCTAGACTTTTCATTAAAGGTCAGAGGACAGGTGATTGTCTCTTTTACTGGTCCACACACCATAGCTACCCCTTAACTTATACCATTATTTATATGAGTCATAATTTGGCAAACAACAAAGCAGAATCCTTGGCACAAGAAAGACTTCCCGGTTGGATTTTACTTTATGACTTTAATGAGGCCTCATAGAATTTCCATGATGATAGCGTCTAGTATAGAATGGTCTCTGTTTCCAACTTCCTGATTCTATTCTTGCCCCTCTCAGTCCATTCTCTGCACTCAAGGCCTGGAAAGATCTGGCTTCCTCTTTTCTCTCCCTCCCCCATTTATGCCTCTACCCTTACCCCCCTTCCACCTTCGACTCACACTGGTCTTGGCTCTGCCCCTCCCCCCCCCCCCCCCCCCCCCCCCCGGGCTCTTGTCTTAAGGTCTTAACTGGCTCCTTTTCATCTCTGAGGTCTTCCTCTTCAAAGAGGCTTTCCCTCACCCCTCCTAAAGTAGCCCCGCCTGGTTACTCTATAATGTCATCTAGTCCTATCACCTCATGTGAAGGTAAATATTATTCCCTTCACTGCAATCTCTTAGCCAAATTGGATTACCTTGTTTATTTGTGGTGTGTAAACCTATCCAAAACGGGGATATTCCCTTCTCATTCCCCCCCATGACTACCACCATCGTTCAAGCCACATCTCCTCCCACCAGGATGACGGTCGGCAGTGACCTTCTAACTTCCCCGCTTGCCTACACAGCAGCCAGAGTGATCCTCTGAAAATGTAAATGAGATCCTGTCACCCTTCTGCTCAGAAATCCTCCAGTACCTCCCCGGTTCCCTCAGAGTAAAGGACAAAGCCTTTACGGTGGCCTGGCAAAGCGGAGGGTGACAAGTGTGTTCGTTCTAAGTTGAACAAAGGAAAAGACTAATTGTTCTTTGGTCATAGTACAACAACCAGAATCTTTCCACCCATCAGTGACAACCTCTCACTCGGTGACAGCTTCCCGCTTCAGAAATTCAGCCAGTCAGCGACAGCCACACTCCAGCAATCCTGCCTCCTTAGCTAAAGGTCAGCTCAGCCCCCAGTCCAGCTTCTAGAAGTGTGAATCTCTGAACCCACACTTCCCAAAACACCATGTAAGACCACAGATTTCTTTGGTCACAGGCTCTGCCTTACAATGCAGCTGTCCTTTGCTTAGCAAGAAATATATTCCTTGCTTTTTATTTGTTTCTGAATTTCAGAAATGGTGACCTTTTCACTGGGCAAGACCCTATGGGATCTATGATCTATCCCCTCTCCTCTCTCCCTCTAACTTTTACTTTTTCCTTTGCTCACTCCACTTCTTGTTGTCCTTATTTCTAACAGGAATGCTCCTGCCTCAGGACCTTTGCATTTGCTGTTCCATCTGCCTGGTACCTTCTTTTCTCAGACATCCACATACCTCATTCTCTCAGCTCCTTCCATTTCTCAATGAGGCTCACCCTGACCTAAAAATTGCAATTCTAGCTCCCTATCCCCACTCTCCCTTAACTGCTTTATTTTCTTTTTCAATGATACTTATCACCTGTAACAAACTGTAGAATTTCCTCATTTATTTTGCTTATGTTTTATTGTCTGTCTCTTCCCATTAGAATGTAAGTTCTATGAGGACAAGGATTTTTGCTTTTTGTTCACCAGTGTATCCCAAGCACATAGTAGGTACTCAAAAAATATTTGTTGAATGAATAGATTTTTAATATTTCACCTTATTAGGACAAGAACTTTTTGATTGCAAAGATTTTGTGTTCACCACTGTATACTTAGTGCCCGGAACAGTGTCTGGCACATACTGGGAGCTCTATATGTCTATATGGAATTGAATGCATGAGCAAGGCATTGGATACAATTGTATTTTAATTGATAATGTAAATGACCCTGAAATTACTAAAGCCTGATATGTCATCTCTCTCTGGAGAAACAGTTAATAAACATATTTCAAATTCTTCAAATTATTATGAAGTGTTAATCAAAATGTTCAAAACATATTCATCACTATTTCCCCATGGATTAGTGAGTTAATTAAATATCTTTGAAAATATCTTTGATCAACCTGAAAAACCAACAAGATCACTCCTCCCTAAGGCTGCTCAGGCCAAGGACTAGAGGAAAACTTGTCTTTAATAAGAAAGAAGGCCAGAAAACATCTTTTTGCTTCAACTGTCGGGTCTCCTCCTCCTCCTCCACGGTCCTTATCACGTTGGTAGCTTTACAAATCATGAAAAGGGCTCCCACTTATTGTGTGTTTTCAGTGTGTCAGGTGCTCTGCTAAATCCTACATGCATGTGTTCTCATGTCAGCCACACAGTGGTCTCATGAAATAGGTATTATTATTATCCCCACCTAAAAGACTTGCAAACAGGTGAAGAGCTTCAGAAACCCAGAAATCACACTGCTAGAAGTTGGGGGGAACCAAGTCTCAAACCTATGACTCTGTCTTGGTCTCGCTCCACTGCAGGTTCCTTCTGGCCCCAATTCCTCCAATGAAATCCTTCCCATTCACAGGATTTGAACAGACATTTCTCTGAAAAGATATATGGATGGCCGACAAGCACATGAAAAGATGCTCAACAGCATTAACCATAAGGGAAATCCAAATAAAAACCACAGTAAGATACTACTTCATACTCATTAGTTTGGTGATAATAAAAAAGATAAACAATAGCAAGTGTCGTTGAGGATGTGGAGAAATCAGAACCCTCATACCCTGGTAGCGGGAATGCAGTACCAGGCAGCCACTGGGGAAAAGGGTTTGGCAGTTCCTCAAACAGTTCAACATAGAGTTAGCAATTGACCCCACAATTCCAATTACTAGGTATACACCCAAGGAAAATGAAAAAAATAGATCCACACAAAAACTCATATGTGAAGGTTCATAGCAGTATTATGCATATAACCAGAAAGTGGAAATAACTCAAATGTCCATCAACTGATGAATGGATAAACAAAGTGTGGTCTATCCACACAATGAAACGTTATTCAGCCATAGAAAGAGTGAAGTTCTGATACATGCTACAACATGAATGAACCTTGAAAACATTATTAAAGGGAAAGAAGCCAGACACAAGACCACAGAGTATGTCATTTCATTTATATTCAATGCCCAGAATAGGGGCATCTCGAGGGCTCAGTTGGTTGAGCATCCAACTCTTGGTTTTGGCTTGGTTTGTGATCTTGGGGTTGTGGGATTGAGCGCCACGTCTGGCTCCTGGCTCAGCGGAGAGTCTGCTTGAGATTCTCTCCCTCTGCCCCTCCTCCCAAATGAATAAATTAATCTTTAAAAAAATATATATATATATAAATATATAAATAAATAAATGCCCAGAATAGGCAAATCCATTGAGACAGAAAGTTGACTAGTAGTTCCTTAGGGCTGGAAGGGGATGAGAAAGTAAGGAGTGGTAGCTATGGGGCATTGGGGTTTCTTTCTGAGGTGACGAAAATGTTCTAAAATTGATTATGGTGTCTGTAAATGATATCTCAATAAAACCATTATCCCCCCAAAATTCTAGCCATTGTTAATATCTTTATGTGTGAAGCACTTACAAATTGATAAGAAAGGCACTAAATCTCCAATAGAAAAAGAAGTACAGGACATAAAATAGAAAACTCATTAAGAGAAAAAATACAAATGGCTAATAAACATGTTGGGGTGGCGGGGGAAAGTTTACCCTCAAATGCAAATCGAAAGAAAGAGAAATCTTTCAAATAAGCAAAGAATTTTACAACAAAGATGATGATGAAGATGTGGTGAGATGAGTGTTCCCGTCCACTGATGATGAGAAGCTTTCTAGAAAGCAATTATTAGTCATTGTGCATTGGTAGCCTTTGAGATGTTCTTACCCTTTGGGGCATCTGGGTGGTTGAGTGTTCCGCTCAGGTCATGATCTCAGGGCCCTGGGATGGGGCCCCAGGTGGGGCTTTGCGCTCAGCAGGGAATCTGCTTCGCTCCCTCTCCTTCTTCCCCTCCCCCTGCTCATGCTCTCTCTCTAAAATAAATAAATAAATCTAAAAATATATATATATGTTCTTACTCTTCTAGCCAATAAATGTATCAGAAGGAAATAATATGTAATGCAGGCAATAAGATATTTACTTTTTTTTTTTAAGATTATTTATTTATTTATTTATTTGACAGAGAGAGACAGCGAGAGAGGGAACACAAGCAGGGGGAGTAGGAGAGGGAGAAGCAGGTTTCCTGCAGAGCAGGGAGCCCGATGCGGGGCTCGATCCCAGGACCCTGGGATCATGACCTGAGTCGAAGGCAGACGCTTAACCGACTGAGCCACCCAGGCGCCCCGGCAATAAGATATTTAGAAGAGCATGTTAGCAGTAGAAAAAATTGGGGAAAAACTATGTCGTAGGCGACTCCAAAATGGCCCCCAGTGACCCGCACCTCCTGGTATTCACACTTTTGTATAGTCCCCTCCCCTAGAGTGTGGGCTGGACTTACTGACTCACTTCTAATGAATAGAGTACAGCAGGCACAATTAGATTATAAAAAGAAAGAAAGTCAACAGTTTTCTCTGAAAAACAGAATAAGTGTTCAATGCATGCTTCTTGATTTCAGTTAGGAAATCATTCACTCTGTCCATATTTATTGAATCTCTACAATGTGCCAGCCAGCCCTGGGGAGACAGAGAGGAGCAAGACCAAGACCCTGCTCTGGTGGAACTCATTTCTTGATGATATCTTATGGTGGTTTCTTCTTTGGTAGCGGTGCTGGAGATAGAGAGATGGAGAGTAGTAGATAGACAGGCAATACATTTTAGAGGTAGAACAGTTTTTTTTTTTTTAATTTAAATTCAATGAATTATAATGTATTATTTGTTTCAGAGGTACAGGTCTGTGATTCATCAGTCTTTTTTTTTTTAATTTTTTTAAAATTTTTTTTAAAGATTTTATTTATTTATTTGAGAGAGAGAATGAGATAGAGAGAGAGCATGAGAGGGAGGATCATGACCTGAGCTGAAGGCAGTCGCTTAACCAACTGAGCCACGCAGGCGCCCTCATCAGTCTTATATAATACCCAGTGTTCATTACAACACACACCCTCCCCAATGTCCATCACCCAGTTTCCCTACCCGCCCCCCTAGCAACCCTCAGTTTGTTTCCTAAGATTAAGAGTCTCTTATGGTTTGTCTCCCTCTCTGGTTTCGTCTTGTAGAACATTTTTGTGCCAGAAAGGAGTAGTGAAGAAACTTGAATTATTACCTTGGCTAACTTGAATGGAGGATTCTAGAGCTAGACTCCTTGGTGTGATATCCTGGTGTGATCAACTACCAGTGGGTGACCTCGTGTCCATGGCTACATAACCTCTGCACGCCTCATCTCCTTATCTGCAAAGTGATGCCTTTCCTCATCCATTTTGGAGATAACAACCTAACTCGGGATTGTGGGGAGGCATGAGTTAGTATAAAGAGCTTAGAGGAGTGCCTGAAAATTGAAAAATTGAAACATTGAAAAATGGCCTAAATGGTTAGCCATTGTTAACCATTGTTAGAATTATTGAGATGGGGACAACTGGAAAAAAAATCAAAACTGAGAATGACTGTGACTACTTAGGAAGTGTAACAGCTATTAATACTTCTTTATTACATTGGAATCCTGCCATCTTTAAAGGTTATCTAGTTTACCTAGTTATGGGAGTAATGTATATGCTCTGTCATCATTAACACCATCATCCCCGTGGATTAGAGGTACCTGGGGAAGGAATAAAAGGGCAGGAAATTTTTTTTTTAAAGATTTTATTTATTTATTTGACAGAGAGATAGAGAGAGAGCATAAGTAGGCAGAGAGGCAGGCAGAGGGAGAGGGAGAAGCAGACTCCACCGAGCAGGGAGCCCGACGTGGGGCTCAATCCCAGGACCCTGGGATCATGACCTGAGCCGAAGGCAGCCGCTTAACCTACTGAGCCACCCACGTGCCCCAGGGCAGGAAATTTTAATAGGGACTCTAGGGAATGGTCCTACTAGGGAGGGATGATGAGGCAGGCTGAGCCCTGCAGGGGAAGGAACTGCTGAGGGAGGTACCTGGAGGGGAGGAAACGGGAGGCCACAGACCTCCCTCCCACCTCTGGCTCAAGGACAGCTCCTAAAGAGCTCTTTTTTTTTTTTTTAAGATTTTATTTATTTGACAGAGAGAGAGCAAGAGCATGAGCACAAGCAGGGGGAGCGGCAGCCAGAGGGAGAGGGAGAAGCAGGCTCTCAACCAGCGCAGGGAGACCCTGATGCGGGGCTGGATCCCAGGACCCCGGGATCATGACCTGAGCCAAAGGCAGATGCTAAACCGACTGAGCCACCCAGGCGTCCCATGAGCTCTTTTAGTGGCTCTAAGCACTGAAAGGATTGTGATGCTATGTCTCCCATATATGATTCAAAATAAAAAGGACACTCACGGGGCACCTGGGTGGCTCAGATGGTTAAGCGTCTGCCTTCGGCTCAGGTCATGATCCCAGGGTCCTGGGATCGAGTCCCACATTGGGCTCCCTGCTCCTTGGGAGCCTGCTTCTCTCTCTCTCTCTCTCTCCCTCTCTGTCTCTCATGAATAAATAAATAAAATCTTTAAAAAATAAAAAAATAAAAAAATTTTAAAAATTTAAAAAAAAAGGACACTCACTGCAAAATACATGGATGAAAGTCCCCAAAAGTTCTGGCTCTCTCCAAAATGGGCACCTTGATATACTTCTCAATATCATATGCTTCTTCCCAAATATTTCCCCCTCCTTTCTTGGGTCCCATTTTTTTATATTCCTGCTTTCAGGGTACCTAAGCTCATTCTTGGTTTGCATGATAGGTAATTCCACCTGGAAAGTTTTGGCCACTGACAAGCACCTGGACAAAGTTATCTGGCAGGTTCTGTGAGGTTACGATCACCTGTCTCCAGGACTCTTCCATTGCCCCTGTCTCGGAGCGAGAGACCATTCCACCACCCATACTTTTGACTTGACACTAATT